CATCTTTGACTAATAATTCCAAAGTCTAGTCTTCTTTAGGTACGGTTTCTGTGAAATTCTTCATATCCTGTGAAAGAATCTTACTTTCCTGTTGCTTTACATATTTTATAATTTTTTGTTGGGAACTGGTTATTCTGAGCATTATTTTGTAGTTACTCTGGAATCTAATTCTACTCCTCAGAAATTGCTTGTTTTTGCTTGTTGCGGACTGGACCCATTCCTATTTGTGCCTTTTCCAAACTATTTTTGCAAAGTGTATCTTTCCTGTTGTGTGTGGCCACTGAGGTTCCTTTTCCATTGTCTCTACAGTTAAATGTCCTTAAATGTCTGGCTCTCAAGAAGGAGGGAAGAGATCCTATCTCTTTAAACCTCCTGTGGCTGGGAAGCTGCTTCAACCTGTGAGGTGGGCATTAAAAAATGGCTGGCCTCCAGCCTGGTCCCTCACAATCAAAAGCGGCAGGCATCTGGCAAAACACATGACCTCCTACTCCTGGAGGATAAGGTCGTTTGTGCCCACACTGGTTCCAGGAAGCTGCACCAGGAATGTGGGCGGCTTCTCTGACAGTTTCCTGGTGCTGAGTGGCAGGCTTTTTCCTGTTGCCGCTACATCACAAAAGGCTGTTCACCAAAATTTACTACCAATTTCATCACTCTCTCCCTCAGATGTCAGAAGTGTTCCAAAATAGACAATTTCTGCCAGTTCAACAGCTGTTTAGGTGAAGAGACAGATTACTGGATCCTCCTGCTCTGCCGTCTTCCCTGACATTCCCTACCTTATACCTTTTTTTTCTTTTGAGACAGAGTTTCACTTTGTTACCCAGGCTGGAGTACAATGGTGCAATCTCGGCTCACTGCAAACTTTACCCCTTGATTTCAAGTGATTCTCTCGTCTTGGCCTCCTGAGTCACTGGGATTACAGGAGCCTCTCACCACACCTGGCTAATTTTGTGTTTTTAGTAGAGATGGGGTTTCACTATGTTGGCCAGGCTTGTCTTGAACTCCTGACTTCAAGTGATCTGCTCGCCTCAGCCTCCCAAAGTACTGGGATTACAGGCATGAGCCACCATGCCTGGTCCCTACATTATGCTTTGATTATATGAATTAACTCCTGGAGGGTAAACTTGTTTCCAAACTTTGAGAAGGTATTTCAATTTGCTTCCATTCCCAGAACCTGTTCTGCTTTCTAACCATATCAGAAACTGGCCAGTCTCTCTTGATATTTGCTATCTATGTCCAAAGCAAAGGCCAAACCAGAGCTGTCTTAAAGCTCCCTTAAGCCATCTCCTCTCTCCTGTCCAGTCCTGTAATAGAAAAGCTGAAATGTGATAACAGGTCAAGCACATATGGGAATTTTGTTGTTGTTGTTGAAATGGAGTCTTGCTCTGTCACCCAGGCTGGAGTGCAATAGTGTGATCTTGGCTCACTGCAACCTCTGCCTCCCGGGTTCAAGTGATTCTCCTTCCTCAGCCTTCCAAGTATCTTGGACTACAGGTGCCGGCCACGATGCTTGGCTAACTTTTGTATTTTTAGTAGAGTTGGGGTTTTGCCATGTTGGCCAAGCTGGTCTCAAACTCCTGACCTCAGGTGATCCGCACACCTCGGCCTCCCAAAGTGCTGGGATTACAGGCGTGAGCTACCGTGCCCAGCCCAGGGATATTTCTTGTTCTACTTTCCTTTTTGTTCATTCATAGGTCAAACATTTTTTGAGCAACCAGTATGTGCCAGCTCTTTGATGGATGCTGGGAGACAGTGTTAAAAGAGTCATGTTGTTCTCAATAAGCTCACAGCCAATAAGAAGCGAATACATAAAAGAATTCCAGTATACTTCAATGAGGCTTGAAAGATATGTGGACAGAAATGTGTGAAGGAAATAACAGCATGTATGCCTAAATGAATGTGAGGGAAAAGCAGGGAGAAAAATGGAAAACCTCACACATAAAATGGCACATGCAGTTAGGCAGGTGGGAGCATTTCAACAGGGGCACTAGTTAGTGCAAACACTTGGAGAGTGAGAACCTTGCCAAGTGGAGTGACGGCAAGTAATTCAGAATTATAGTGTAAGGTGTGTGGGGCAAGTGTTAGGATATGAAGACCGATGGGGCAAAAGCACGTACAGTTGAATTTTATTTTATTTTTATTTTTTGAGATGGAGTTTTGCTCTTGTTACCCAAGCTGAAGTGCAATGGCGCAATCTCGGCTCACCGCAACCTCCACCTCCTGGGTTCAAGCAATTCTCCTGCCTCAGCCTCCCAAGTAGCTGGGACTACAGGTGTGTGCCACCATGCCCAGCTAATTTTTGTATTTTTAGTATAAACGGGGTTTCACCATGGTGACCAGGATGGTCTTGATCTCTTGACCTTGTGATCCACCCCCCTTGGCCTCCCAAAGTGCTGGGATTATAGGTGTGAGCCACGGCGCCTGGCCGAGTTGAATTTTATTTTTAAAGCCATTTTAGTGTGGTAAGATTATCAGAACATGATCAGATTTATGCTTCAGAAAATAAGTGTTGTGAAGGAGGATCTGAAATAAGTTAACAGCAATAGTATTTAAAAGCTGCTAAAGGTTTACTCTAGTGTGTTTTACATATCATCTCAATCCTCACAAAAATGCTATGGCATCAGAACTAAAATCATTCCTTTTTAGATGAAAAAATGGGCACAGAGAAGTACTATGCAAAACGATATATGGTGAGTTATGTTAACTAATGTGGTGAAGCTGAGATTTGAATCCAGGTAGTCTAATAGCAGAGTTTGGATGCTTAATTGCTGTGCCTTACAAGGGGCTGGAGAAAGGGCAAGTTAGAATTCTATTGAGATCATCTAAGTAATGAATAATCAGGGCTTGAACTAAGGCAGTGGCAATGGGGTTGGAAGGTGGAGCACAAGTTGGGCAACTTTGAGGAAGCAGAATTGATAGGACATGATTGACTGTGGAGGATTAAGGGAGTGAGGCTCCTGGATGACTGGTTCCCAGTTGGTCTCTTATGGGAGATGCTCACTAAGGCAGAAGACATGAAGAAATGAAGTTTGGAAAAAGAGGGAGACATAATCTGGTCAGTTTTGGATGTGCTGAGTTGGACAAACCAAATGGAGACATCTAGGAAGCAACTGGGCCTGAAGGTGAGGACAGAACAGACGCCAGAGGTGTGATGAGATTCCTGAGGGAGTAGGCAAGGAGACCAGTGAAGGCAGGGCTCCGCTACCCACTGCAACTGTCTCCCACCTTGAAGGGATAAGCAGAGAAATACAAGCTTCAGCTGTTTTCCGGGTGAAAGTCTCCAAACTCAGGAGACACTGGCAAATCTAGTTTGCTTATTTGATACAGATATTTATCCATATTCTTTTCAAATGGGATCAAGTAGTTTTGTAGTAATCACATGATGAACTTTATTCATTTTCAGGAATCTTTTGTTAATTTCCTTTTAGACTTGAAAAATTGAAAACTGTATCTTCAGCCCTCTAAATACTCCTGTTGTACGGAAGTCTAATCTCTAACCCTGCTTTTTTTGATCTTAGTTTGTAGCTGTATATATATACTTAAAATGTTTCCTGGTTAGTTCTGTCTTCACCTTCTATAAGTTCCATGACAGCAGGAACCATTTAATTCATCATTGTAGGCCTGGTGCCTAGCAGATTTTTGGCATACTTCTTTGTTGACTTACGAACTTTACTAGCTCCTCCCATCCCACCTTTCTCCTTTCTTCTTCCCTCACTCCCTCTCTTCTTTCTGTTCAACAAACATTTGTTGGATGCCAGGGATTCAGCTAGACTGGTATATAAAGATGACTAAAGCAGTGCTCCTGCTCTTGATACTTTAGTAGAGATAAACCTGATAAGTGGATGGCACCTTGATGTCTAGAATTTCATCAAGAGGATAGGGGAAAGGCATCGCTGTCAGGAGATGGCACGTGTCAAAGCTTGCGGGTAGGGAAATGTGAAACACACATGGTGCGCATGAAGAAAGACCAGGAGTTTTATGTCGCTGGGGCACTGCATAGCATTCATGGAATGCTGTGGAAAGTAGGGCAGAACAAATCAGTGCCAGGTGAGGCTGAAAAAGCAGAGCCTGTGAAGGCATGAGAAACCATCCTCATTTTTGTGCCCCTAATCTTTACCCATAAGGGCATCTGGAAGGACAGGTGAGGATTTGTGGTTGACAGATAAAATGGTGGAGGATTCATTCATACCTATACTTTCTTGCATTGCCTATCTTTTCTTTTGGTTTTATATGATAAAAAATTATTTTATAAGCAATTATTTCTAAAACAATTCATTAGAGCCAATTTGTTTTTCAATCAGCAGCAAACTATTTTTAATAAATGGACAAAAGCTTTTGCCCCTTGTCAATTTCAATCATTAAATTGTGTGGGAGAGTTTTTCAGTTTAGTGGATTAACACATTTCAAGGCATTATCCTTCAACAATAAGGGAGAGGTTTCTCTGGCCTCATTAATTAATTAATTTTTGGTGTAACTCCTGAATTCTTATTCAATAAGCTATAGTTTATTACTGACATTAATTACTCTGATCCTTAAGTGGAACCAGATTTGACAGGGGCAGCCTCTTCGAGCTGTCTCTGTCCTTCTGCCTCTTCACCTTTCTGTGAGCCCTTCTTTACTTTTAGGCACAGGATGTTCTAGCCTGATCTTGGACTTTCCCTGTCACAGCCTTGGAATTAGCCAGTTCTCTAGAGAATGGAACTGGTTTTAGATATTTGCACAAGATTTTTATAATTTTTATTTACCGTGTTTTTAAAAAATGCCATTTTATAATAGCATTTTATATTCAGCTTAATGCCAATTAATGACCCCATTTTAAACGTTTTCCACAACCTAATATATCCCACGAGACCTTGACCTTGTGATCAAAATTTCTTCCAACTATACTAGTCTTTAAGAAGTAATAAGGTTGGCAAGGATGATGAGTATTTATAATTTTTTTAAAAAAGTAGTTTTAAAAACACATGAAAAAAAGCACCTCTCAGTATTTTTTACATCTGAGAGTAAATATTTTATTCTGCTTCCAGATAGAATATTGAAATTTACATGTTAAAGACAATAAACAGCTAAGCTACTGACATAAAGTATACAATAAATTTATGAGACATAAGATACAGATGAGAAAAATCTGAAATAAGTTTTAACTTCATTTACCCTATTAGGAACATCAGGATGTCTGGAATTGATACTGGCCTTGGTCTCAAGTACTTGTTCCTGTATATACCTGTTTTATCCTACCAGAGAGCATATCACATTAGAGTGTCTAAGAAATCAGTGAATCTTTACTAAGCTTTCCATCTTACCAAAGTACAAAACATTATTTCAAATCTAGGCCTTCTGACAGAATCCAGTATCTATTTTTACACTTAGTTTTTCTAAGTTCTTTAGTAAAATTATAAATCAGAAAGTAAGTCAAGATATGCTTATATCACAAAGAATATCAATGAAGATTTATGAAGATATATAGCTAGTACTTCTAAAAATCACAAATTTTGACATTTGGAGCAACATAATTGCCATATTATTATAGCTTTTATTAAAAAAGCCCCTTTCCAGCTTGTTTCCAGACTTCTTTTACGCCTTTAATGCTTTCTTTCTTCACACACTTCCAGTATTCTTGTATACTCTGATGTTGTGGTACCTGTTAACCAAAAGTAAAAATCAAGGGGTAAAAAAAGACAGTAAAAATCACTGTCTTCAAGGTTAAACACGATTTCATGTGTAGTTTATGTTACTGTTTATTTCCTTCCCTCCTCCAAAAGTAGTTGAGGATGGACTGTGTTGTAAAAGATGATCACGACAGGATGTAAAATGAGGGTAAAAGACGAGGAGTGAACGTGACCACACAACGTAACTAGGGAGTGGAACTAGACTCAGCACACACTAATGGAGTTTCTTCTGTAAGAGGGTAATAAAGATGTTGGGCCATCTCCTTTCACATACTGGCTTTAAAATGTAATTATTTTATAATGTTTTATAATCTTTCCCTTTTTCTGGTTAACTTTATTTAGCTGTGTGGAATAAAATTATAAACCCAAAGCTTTGATTTAATGTTGGCTTAAACTAAAAAAGAAGCAATAGGTCACAAAATATTTAATGAAAAGCATCAAGAAATAATCTAATTCATGTGCAACATTTTTTAGCAAAAAATGTGTGTGGATTACTATTTCTCTCAATAAAAAGGTAAAGGTTAGAAAATATTTGGATCCTGGTGACCACAGGAATTGATGGAAAATTCCACAGGAATTTCCATTGATGGAAATTAGCCAAGTGGAAGCAAAATTCTACTCCAGATTATGTATGTTCTTTTTCCTATGACTGATTTACAGCTCTTCTTTTTAATGTCTTCTGAGAAAGGGCAAAGAGACTCCCAGGTAAACTGTTAACCGTAAAGACTGGCTTAATTTCCAGGAATATATTTATGGGGTGTCGGATAACTGCAAAGCTTATAAAATATTGTTTGCTAATGAAAATCATATTTAATATTTTTCCCTGTTATATTTGTTGCAGGAAATGGAACTGCTTTTCTAAGCTGTAAATAGCTTTATTTTCATGCATAGTCCCATATTCTCTCTCTCCCCCCCTCCTTTCTTTCTTCTTATCTGTCTGTCTGTCTGTCTGTCTATCTACCATGTAGGGTATCTTTGGATCCTAGTTTTCCCCTTGCAGACTTCTTTTCTGAGAGTGCTTCTAGCACATTCTAATCTAAAAAAAAATCTGAATTTGATCTGTCCCATAAATGTATAGACTCATATGTGACTTCGAGTGAATAATGCTAATGGTGAAATTAATTTCATTATCTCAGCTACTATACTAAGTATTTCACATTAAATTCTTACAATAATGCTTTCTGATAGATTAGTTTCCTCATGGTATGGATAAAGAATCTGAGACTAAGAAAAATTAAGTGGCTTTGCAAGATTCAGCAGTTAATAAACAGTAGAGCTGGGATTTGAATTTACATATATCTAATTACATGTCGTCAGTCAAATACTAGGGTAGGATTTCTTTTTCCTTTTTTTGTAGAAACAGAGTCTCATGGTGTTACCCAAGCGGGTCTCGAACTCCCGGCCTAAAGTGATCTGCCCACCTAGGCCTCCTGCTGGGATTACAGATGTGAGCCACCATGTCTGGCTAGACTATATTTCTGAATAGCATTTTCTTTAAAAAAAAAAAAAAAATTTTTTTTTTAAACAGACAAGGTCTTGCTCTGTTGTAGAGGTTAGAGTGCACAGGTGCGATCATAGCTCACGGCACCTTTAAATAGTGATTTCTGATTAGATTCAGATTATTTTTTAAAAATCTAAGAAAATATTTAATCTCATAAAGTGTATTTCCGTATTTCAATTTCAGCTTATAATCTTTTTATAAATGATGAAAACTCCATTTAAAGACTGTACATTTGCCCAAATTCTACGTTTAATATCATTCAGTTAATGATAATGTAAACATGTATTATATAAAAAAATTTGTTACCCATAAACCTCGATGCATTCTGTTTTTTAACACCCCAAGAAACTCTTCATGACTAAGACATTCATCACCGTCCACATCAAAGATCTTGAAGACGGTGTCCAAAATATTGTTTGACAGTTCTTGTCCTGTTGCTACTTTCACAGCTCTCTTAAACTCGGCTAAAAAACAAAGATAAAACAACTCATCAACTACCCGAAATAGTCTCAGTGGAACTAATCTAAATTTTCATTATTTGAGAAGTAAAAGCAAATCCAAATTTTTATTATTTGGGAAGTAAAACAAAAACAAAAATGTCCATGAAGAAAATATTCAAATCCTAAATTGAGAGATGGCATTAAAGTCATTGCAAGATAAATGAGCTATTTTAATTTAATCAATGCTATAGACATATATTTAAATAATTCCTCCTTTTTAGGAGAATGAGAAAATAAAAGTAAATAAAGTAACCATTAAATTGAAGTACTGGTATTGTAAATCTAGAATAGCCACATTAAAAGCTAAAATAACCACATTATTTTTACTTATAATTTGTTCCTTGACTGGTAGTATTTAGTTGAAGAATATAGTAAAACTGTTTATAGGTGATAAAAATCGAACGGTTTTTCATAACTTACCTAGTCTGACAGGACGATGAGCTAAACTGAACATCTGCATGGCAATAGCAAAGTCTTCCAAGTGGGTTGTAAAATGGCAAAATGACTTGAACTCATCCAAACTAATGCTCTAATAAAACAAGAGTTTTTATTACAATTTTGTAAATACATTAAACAATCTTATAAACGTTGTGAACCTTCTTTTCTACAGTTAAAGACTAGTGTCATTCTAAGAGGAAGAGGCAACAGAGCTTTCTCTGTTCCGTTCTCTCTGTGTGCACAAAGAAATGGCCACATGAGGGGCACAGTGAGAAGGTGCTGCGTGCAAGCTGAGCGAGAGGCCTCACCAGAAACTGGCCCTGCTGGTGCCTTGACCTTGGACTCCTAGCCTCCAGAACTGTGAGAAATCAATCTACTGTTTAAGCTGCCTGACCTGTGGTGTTTGGGGGTGGCAGCCTGAGGAGACTAATATAGTCTGTTACGTGGTCCACTTCTGCTAAGTTTTATTAGTGGACACAGCACTGAGCAAGAGCACTGGGTTTTGGAGTTAGATGAACTTATGTTGAAATTCCGGTTCTGCCCTTTACAACGTGTATGACCTTAGCATAAGTCTTAAGTAACACTTCAGGGGTTATACAGCTTGCCCAAGGTCTACTAACTGAAACAATCAGGATCTGAACCTTGGTCCATCTGACTTCAAAACCTGCACACTTAAAAATAAAACAAACGGACCCTATGTGGTGGCTCATGCAGGTAATCCCAGCACTTTGGGACGCCAAGGTAGGAGGATCACCTGAGATTAGCAGTTTGAGACCAGCTTGGCCAACATGGTGAAACACTGTCTCTGCTAAAAATACAAAATTAGCTGCATGTGGTGGTGCAAGTGTGTTGTCTCAGCTATTTGGGAGGCTGAGGCAGGAGAATTGCTTGAACCTGGGAGGCGGAGGTTGCAGTGAGCCAAGATTGCAGCACTGCACTCCAGCCTGAGTGACAGAGTGAGACTTCCTCTAAAAGCAAACAAACAAATACAGAAGTTTAAAAAGTAAACAAGGCTGGGTACGATGGCTCTTGACTGTAATTACAACACTTTGGAAGGCCGAGGTGGCCGGATTGCTTGAGCTCTAGAGTTGGAGACCAGACCGAGCAACACGGCGAAATCCCTGTCTCTACAGAAAATACAAAAATTAGCCAGCATGGTGGCATGTGCCTGTGGTCCCAGCTACTTAGGAGGCTTAGGCAGAAGGAGCCCTTGAGCACAGCAGTTTGAGGTTATTACAGTGAGCTAATTGCACCACTGCACTCCAGCCCGGGCAATAGAGCAAGACCCTGTCTAAAAAAAAAAAAAAAAAAGTAAACAAAGTATAAAAATTCTCTTAGCTTTTACTTTGTTTTTGAGACAGTATTTCACTGTCATCCAGGCTGGAGTCCAGTGGTGCAATCACAGCTCACTGCAACCTTGAAATTCTGGGTTCAAGCTATTCTCCTGCCTCAGCCCCCCAAGTAGCTTGGGACTACAGGCACACAGCACCACGCCAGCTAATTTTTAAATTTTATTTTTAGTAGAGAAGAGATCTTGCTATGTTGCTCAGGCTGGTTTCAAACTCCTAGGCTCAAGTGATCCTCCCACCTTAGCCTCAGAAAGTGCAGGGATTACAGGTGTGAGCCATTGTGCTCAGCCAAAAATTCTTAATTTGAAAGTAAATTCTTCCCTGCTTGAAAAAAAAAAGTTTCTCTTTGTAGGGATATTCAGGATCATGCCCTCCATAATGTGTGGTCTTACTCAAGGTTCATTGCTTTCAAGCTTTTGTGACTTCATGACATTTTTATTTTTAAACATTTCAATAAAGTTTTTGAAAAAGTAATATGCGCACATGGTTAAAAATTCAAACAGTATGAAGAATAAATGATGAAAAGTCCTTCCTCTTCTGATTCCCAGTTCCATTCCCCAGACATGTGATACCAATTCCTAGTGTGTCTCTGTCCAGAAATATTTTATTCATATAAAAGTGTATACATGTACACACACATCTCCTTGTTTTACACAATGGGAACAATCTCTTCACATATTTCTGTACCTTCCTTTATTCTCTTAACAGTATATTTAAAAGATGATAGGCAGAGAGGAAAAAAAGAAAAAGAAAAAACCAGTGTATTTATCAGCACAAATAAAAGAGTGGCTGCTTCTATCATGATCTCAAAGTAGGCACTGGGTGCAACTTTTTTGATGTCTGCTTTTCTGATAGATGAAAAATATTGTATTAATGTCTGAATTTGTATGTCTTACAGAGCCTTGCTCTGTTGCCCAGGCTGGAGTGCAGTGGCACGATCTTGGCCCACTGCAATCTTTGCCTCCTTGGTTCAAGTGATTCTTCTGCCTTGGCTTCCCAAGTAGCTGGGATTACAAGCATGTGCCACCATGCCTGGTTAATTTTTGTATTTTTAGAAGAGACAGGGTTTCACCAGGTTGGCCAGGGTCTCAAACTCCTGGCCTGAGATGATCCACCCACCTTGGCTTCCAAAAGTGCTGGGATTACAGGCGTGAGCCATAGCATCTGGCCTGAATTTCTATCTTTAATTGTGAATGAAGTTAAACATTTTTCACATGCTTATTAGTCATTTGTGGATTTCTCTTCTTGTGTCCTGTTTAGGTCCTTGGCCCAGATTTCTAATGGGTTTTTAGGTGACTTCTTATTGTGGGAGACTGTTCTCCATGAGTCTCACGTTTCTGTATATCTATCAAACAGAGGCAGCACCAACTGCATTTTTGTTCCAGATTATCTTTTCAAGGATTTCAGGCCAGTAATCCCAGCACTTTGGAAGGCCAAGGTAGGTGGATCACCTGAGGCCGGGAGTTTGAGACCAGCCTGGCCAACATGGTGAAGCCCATTCCACCGAACATATAAAAATTATTGAGGCATGGTGGCGTGTGCCTGTAATCTCAGCTACTTAGAAGGACAAGGCAGGAGAATTGTTTGTATAGCGGACAGCATTGTTCCTCAGGAGCACCGGACAGCTTTCCTTACTGTCCAGTATCATGAATACATAATGTCTCCCACTGCAGCAAAGCTCAGGAAGGTTTGTTTACTGCCCATTACAAAACATTCAGATTTATTAAGATGAGGGGTCTCAGCTGTGAGGTGGATCTACTGTGTGGGCAGCATCTACCTGGGCCTCTCAGCATCATGCCCACAGGGACTGGGAGGCAAGGGGGAACTGATACAAATATGTTGCTCATGTTGTTGCTACATTATGATGATAAAATTCTTTGTGTCTGACTCAATATTCTTGTATCTTCTGCAAACATCCATGAAACTGTTCAGGCTAACTTGCAAAGGGATAAAATCTCAGATACTCTACAGTTAATCACATGTTGATTTTCATAACATATTAAATAGGGAAAAAAACTCACACCATTTTAAGTTTCTTGATACATACATACAGAGTCTCACTCTGTTGCCCAGGTGCAATCTTGGCTCACTGCAACCTTTGTCTCCCAGGTTCATGCAATTCTCCTGCCTCAGCCTCCTGAGTAGGTGGGACTACAGGTGTGTGACACCATGCCTAGCTACTTTTTTTTGTATTTTTTGGTAGAGATGGGTTTTCACCATGTTGGCCCAGCTAGTCTTGAACTCCTGACTTCAAGACAGCCTCCTGTCTCAGCCTCCCAAAGTGCTGGGATTACAGGTGTGCGCCACCACATCTGGCCAATCCCTACTGATTTTTAAAGATCCCATTATAAATCGAGAAAGTTGGTCTTTACATATCAATTATCTCCCACTTCCTCATGTTGTTAACTTTTTCTTTTGACTCTGATTATAATTTTTGGAGGGGATGAGGTGAGGTAACAAAATATTAATTTTTAGATATTTCATCAAATTTTCTTGGAAAGGTTCTGGGTTTTGCTTAGAAAGGTTTATGGCCTAAGATAAAACACTGTTTCCATGTTTTCCTCTACACTTTAGTTTCATTTTCTTTCTTCAACATTTAATTTTTTGATTTATCCAAAATTTAGAGTAATGAATGGGGTAGAGATTTATGTTTATTTTCTCCCTCAGATGGCCAGTGAATTATCCTAATGCCATTTATTAATAATTCTTTTACCCAACTAATTTAAAATACTATTTCATAAATGCTAAATTTTCCATATGTTCAAGTCTATTTCTGGAATCTGTCAAATTTATTGTCAGTAACAAACTATTTTAGTTACCAAGATTTTGATAATATATTTTAATATGTTGACATTCTTTTCCTATAAACTTTTATGGCTTGTCTAGTTTCTTCCCAAGAATTCAATTCAAATTCCCAAGAATTTTTATTGAAACCTGCAAGTGTTGACCAGTATCTGGCTCTTTTCTGATTCTCGTATGTATGAAAGACTGCAGTTCCTTGCCTCCCTGCATTCAGGTGGGGTTTGTGATTAGTCTGGCTAATAGCCAAGTGTCACGTGATGTTTCCAGGCCAAAACATTTAATTGCTGGATTGTGACTCCCCTCCTTTTTTTCCTGCCACAGCCTCTGAGTGTGGTGCTTCTTCCAGATGACGCAACTCCAAGATGGCACAGCCTCAGAGGGTCTAGACCCCTGAGGGGGTCTATACCTCTATGCAGACAGAGACACCTATCAGCCCATAATGGAACTGTGGCATGACTGAGCAAGAAACTCAGGGTCAGCCAGGGGGATTTCAGGGTTAATTTGTAGTTGCAGCAAACTTGGACTGTTCTAATATACCTATTACACTTATAGGCTAACTGAAGAATTAGAATACAACCGAATTGCTATATTTATAATTCTAAGGCTTTCTATTCAATAATAGGGAATGTCTTATAATTAGATGTGTTTTCTTTTTATAGCCACCAAGGCTATTGTTTTCTTTTTTTGTTACATTTACTTCTAATTGTTATATATTTACCTTGCAATTATAACTGGGTTCTTCTATTGTATTTTATCTTTTTTCTTAAAATAGAAGTAACTTTTAAAAAAGTTATATAAAATACATGTCCATTGCAAACACTTTTTTGGAACAATACATAAAGGTATAAAGAAAGAAAGTAACAGTCACTTGAAACCTCACTACTGCACATGAATAATTATTAATACCTTGGCAATCATCATTTCACACATCTCGTATATACATACATACACATATGCATGCCATTACGTTTTCTACTTGTAATTTGTATACAGGAGAGCTGCTGCTTCTTATATATTAATTTGTAACAGGTACTTCAGGTACTTTATTGAATTCTTACTGTTTCTATGATTTTTCTACTGAATTCTCTTGGGTTCTCTAGGCATATAATTGCATCATATAAAACAGAGAAAACTGCTACCTCCTTTTTAATACTCTTTTAAATAACTGTGTTAATTTGGACTGGTTAAGATTTCCAGAATGATATTAAATAATAGTGGTGATACTTGTCTTATTCACAGCTTTACTGGAAATGAAAAACTTGCAATTGCTAGACTCGATTCTGTCTTAGGCAGTAGTTTTCCTTCACAGGAAAATAGCATGTACAGAACATTCCTCAAATTGATTTTATATACCATTGAGAGTAGCACAGTCTTGGTTAATTCAGAAGTTACTTTATTTATTTATTTACATATTTATTTTGAGATGGAGTTGCGCTTGTCGCCCAGGCTGGAATGCCATGGCTCAATCTCGGCTCACTGCAACCTCTGCCTCTCGGGTTCAAGCGATTCTCCTCCTCAGCCTCCCAAGTAGCTGGGATTACAGGCGCATGCCACCATGCCCGGCTAATTTTTGTATTTTTAGTAGAAATGGAGTTTCACCATGTTAGCCAAGCTGGTCTCGAAATCCTGACCTCACAAGATCCATCTGCTTCAGCCTCCCAGAGTGCTTTGATTACAGATGTGGGCCTCCATGCAGGGCAGAAGTTACTTTATTTATGTAAACATGTCTAACTTATTATTTCATCTTTATCACATACATAATAAAAGGTATACCAACCTCTCCTGCTGACAACTTCTCTCTCACATTTTTCCAATAAATATCTTTATTTTCAGTGTTAGTGAAAAAAAGTAGCCACTCTGCAAAGTCTTCTTTTCTCATGAAACTCAAACCTTTAGAAAACTGAAGGAATTCCATTTCTTGAATCTCTGTTTGTAAATTTTCCATAAATCTAAATGTTAAAATACAAAATTAGTAAAGTAACTAGTGGTATAGTTAAATACTGTAAATGGGTCTGCAAAGTACCTTCACTATTACCCAGTGAGTGGCTGGCCTCCTGATGTGGTGAGCAGGATAAGGCAGAGTGCCGTGCAAGGATTGTGGCAAGAGGGAGGATGCAGAGACGCTGATTACGTTCAGCACTGGCTTCCATCAGCAACTTCCTATACTCAATATGTTTGTGTAAGTTATAGCTGGCAACCTACATTTTGATAAACCTAACAACTTAAAAAATTATGTAAAATGTTGCTTTGACACATCCAGAGAAAATACAATTCCATGGGAACTAATTTTTTCCAACATAGAAAAATTATCAATAATCAGAGAAATTTAAAATTTAGGTGGGACATTGCTTTTAGAATGTTAATCATAATTACTACTTCCTAACATTTTTCTGATACCAGGGTTAATCAGTATAATCAATGGCTTGGCATCAAAAGCTTAGATCTTCCTAAAAACATAATCTTTTTAACAATAATACATGTCTATATGACTCAACATGCCTTTCTTGTAAAAACAACATGGCACTTTGATCAAACGGTCATCAATGGCTTCCCAGGAAAGGGACAAGTTGAAAAGACATCAGATTAAAATCAATCTTCTTTGAACAAGAACCCAGAAATGTTGTACTTGATTTATTTATAACCTAAATCATGTGAAAAGTATTATCTCCACGAATTTTAATATGTTGCAGATCTCTTTATTCACTTATCCACATGTTAAAAGATCTATACTATCCGTCATGTCAAATTCAAATGAAAATATACATGGGGTGATGACAGAGAGGGACATTCTAATTCAGTGGGAGAAAAACTGTCACTGTTAAAAATTACTTGCTTGAAGTTCTACATTTATCCCAGAAATCTTAAAAGCATGAAGGAGTTTGATCTTAGACTTCTGTCTACATGGTAGGCAAGAGTTTGTTACTTAACAAAACATTTTCTGAATGTACTGAATACACAGATTCATCAATGCCATGTTTCTTTCTGGGTCAAAGCAGAACTTTATCTAAAATTTGAAGCATTTTAAGTTTGGACTGATGGATCAACAAAATATTTTCCTGATATATTTTGCCTTTTATTTAGTTTAGTTTTCTTGCCCCGTATACTGTAATGACATTCAACTGATTCTTATTACGACTGTTAAATGCATGCTCTACTTGCAAATGAGTGTATACTGAATTATGCAAGCAGAAAATATGGTATAAAAACATTATTAACTTGTTCCTTTCCCTTTCTTTTTCTTCAGGCTCTAACCGAGCCGCTTGCAGAGGCTGAAATATTATAAACTTAATTGCCATTAAACTATACATTGTCAGGATTAAGCTACTTTCATCTTACCTAATTATACTACTTTTAATGAATATGAGCCCATTTATGATGATAATCTTTTCCCTTTAAGCCTAAAATCATAGTATCTTGAAAGTCTAGAACATGATCTGAACATGCATATATGAATTGGAAGATTTATAGATAGGCTGACAGACACATTTGTGAACAAATCACATACTTTGTAAATTAGTGGGTTAATTAGAAACAATGAAAGACATCTGTTCCTCCTTACTGGAATTGTTTAGGCAGTGGTGTACTGGAGTGGCTCATATCAGCTGTGGGTCTGTCGAGCACATCTTCCCACCTCTGCTGCATGCTGGGGAGCTTGACATTGGCGTGGCAAGAGTATTTATTTATACCACTAATTGGCAAACACTACAAATCAAGGCTGTTTTTCCTGAGACAGAGGACTGTTAAACATATTTACGAGCACACTACTGCTTACAGACACCTCTGAATTTATAAAAGCTCTTGATGAAACTCAGAACTCCGCAACTAATAATTGGCATTTCAGAATTTTTAACAGTCCCAGTCCTAAAAAGTACATCAGTATCAACATCCTCCCCAATTTTTCCTGATAAGAAGACTTGAGGCCAATTTTCTTCCCTCTAACCATTATATATCTTAAGTCACAGGTTTATTTTCAGTATAAAAAACTCACTGGAATAAAAAATGAGGTCAAATGTGCCATACTAGAAATAAACTCAGGGATTATTTCTGGTTACTGTCTTTAAGGCTAATTCATGGAGTTTAAAAGAAGGGAAAAGAAATGCAGAAGAAGAAAAGTCTCCAAAGAGAGTAAGAGAGAAGAGGAAAAAAGAGACAGGAAAAACACAACAAAACCAAGATGTACTGATTCAGGGGGTAAATGTCATCAGGAACTGCCTGAGTAGCCCGAGTCAATGCTTTCCCCCCAAACATCACGTTGGTTGATAGAAAATTCAGTTTTCACAATTTAAATTATCTGCTGCTTTCATAACAATAAAAGAACACCAAAATCCTGGAGACAGAATTAAATTATACTGTGGTTTTTACTTAAAAGGCTAAGTGGTATTTCAGTTGGAAAATCTTTTTATTAGTTGTATAAGTAAAAAAAAAAAAAAAACAGAAAACAAATCACAAGTTTTTCTGTGTGCTTCCTCATTAGCTGATGAGTTTCTCTTGATCTGTGCCTGTCCTTTTGGTAACCTAGTCTGGTACTTGAAGGCCCATTCAATGCATCCACCACCTATCAGAAGACTATGGAACTCTGGTGATGCTCCCCACCTCAGCCTCCCAAGTAGCTGGGGCTACGAGTGCATACCACCACACACATCTCTTTTGCAGAGATGAGTTTTTTGCCATGTTGCCCAGGCCGCTGTCGAAGTCCTGGGCTCAAGCAATCTGCCTGCCATGGTCTCCCAAAGTGCTGGGATTACAGGTGTGAGCTGCCACGCCAAGCTCCAGACCCCACTCTTAATTGCTTCCCACTTTCTCACCCACGCCTCAGCTCTAATGGGCTGCAAAAGGCCTTCTTCAAGTATGGCTTAAAGAAAACCATATTAAAACTGCACATAGTGCTATCTTCACAAATTGATGGTGCACATTTTCAACTGGGTCCTTGAGCTTTCCAGACCCTCTTCTGCAAGCCTGGAAATATGTTCTTTGATTTTACTTACAAGCTATTTCAACCCCTTTTCACTTTCTTTTCTGTTTATCCTCAGCATATGACTTTGCCCCTGCTTCCTACAGAAACTAGAAACCATTATTTAATAAATGTGTTCATTTTCTTATTGTCACTAAAATTTTTAATAGCATCTACAGGCATCCTTCTCTCCACTCTCTCCAACCTGTCACAATGGATGAGGAGTCCCTTTTCCTGTCTGTGGCTAACTTATTTGCCTGCATTGTGGATCTCACCTAGATTCCTGCACTTCCTCCCCTTCAGGGACCTTGCTCCTCTGGTGATTCCCAGTCACTCCTGTATTTTCAGCCTTCACCTCCTTCCATCATCAGTTAAACATGTTATTCATTACACTCCCAGAAACACAAAAGTATAAGCTCCAAATAATACATATGGAAAATTTTTTGTGGAATTTCAATGATTTGGCTACTATGTTGGTGCAAACTTTTGAAAATATTATATATTAGAAGTCATTTTCTGTTATTTTATGACTTAGCAAAATTTAAAAGATATTTTATGATTGCCATAACTTCCAGCCTATTATAATTTTAACTTTAGGGACACTTTGCAATATCTTAGAAAACTTCTGAAAAATTTCACTTTTAAAGTTTTTGTGAATTTAATCAGATTTAAAAAATTGCACGATGGTATGACATATTTCACAGGGCCCATTATTTACAGGAGCCATTAAAGTAAGGTGAGAAGCATCCTTAAAAATTAACTAGTCAGGAAATCTTAAAGTGAAGTGAGGTGCTATGTTAGTATCTCTGTGAATGTAGTTTGAAAAATTATCAGTAATATGACAATATCAGCATTATGATAACAGCTTTCCTTGTTTTAAATTATGATACTTTTGGAACTTCAAAAAACATTGAGAGAGTGACATTTTAAGTATACAAAAGAAGTACGGTTTAAACTATTGTTGAAAAAAATTGTTATAGAGAGGTTAGATGACTCAGTATAGCTATCAGGTAAACTGTGATTAGTGGGATTAGGATACAATTCAGAAACTTAGATTTTTTTTTTTTTTTTTTTGAGACAGAGTCTCAATCTATCACCTAGGCTGGGGTGCAGTGGTGCAATCTCGGCTCACTGCAACTTCTGCTGCCTGGGTTCAAGCGATTCTCCTGCCTCAGCTTCCCAAGTAGCTGGGATTACAGGTGCCCGCAACTGCACCCTACTAATTTTTGTATTTTTAGTAGAGACATGGTTTCATCATCTTGGCTAGGCTGGTCTTGAACTCCTGACCTTGTGATCCACCCAGCTCAGCCTCCCAAAGTGCTGGGATGATAGGCCTCGAGCCTCCATGCCTGGCCAGATTTTTTCTTTCTTTTTTTTTTTTTGAGACAGAGTCTCACTCTGTTGCCCAGGCTAAAGTGCAGTAGGCACTTGGATTTTCATGTATTCTTCTCCATTCCTTAAATCTAATCAATCACTGAGTCCTACAATTTTATCTCCTGTGTCTGGAAATCTTTTCCACTTCAAAATCTTTATTGCCACTACACTAGTTCAAGGCTCTTATTTCTTTTCTGGAATATCTGAATGGTCTTCTCTCTCATAAAATCTAACCTCTACTCTGCTGCCAGATGATGGGCACATCTGACTAAATACCCTTCACACAGCATTCTTCAGGGCCTTCATCACTGAGTTAATTCAACAAGCCACCTCTGTCTTATGGTGCATAAAACCTTCACACAGGTAAGTACATACTTCCCCAGCCTCTGTTCTCCTCACCTTATGCTTACTGCTTTATGAACTCTACTGCTTCTAATTCCCTTTACAAACCATACATTTTCATGCTTCTACGTCTTTGCTCCTGCTGTGTTATCATTCCCCCAAATGGCTCCCTGCCCAAAGCACTTTTGCCTGTTAATCCCTGCTAGTTTGTCAAGATTCAGCTTAGTATTTCTTCCAGAAAGCGTCCCCTGATTACCTAGTCCCAACCTTTAACACAGGGTACA